GGGGGGACAGAGGGGACAGGGGAAACAGGGGGACAGGGGGGACAGGAGGGACAGGGGGGACAGGGGGGACAGGGGGTGCACCTCCCTGGGAGGAGCACACAGGGTGACCCGCCGGGTGGGAAGGGGGGAGGAGGTCCTCAGTCAGGGGCTGGGGAGCTGCGGCCCTGGGGCTGGAAGCAGGAGGAGGGACTCACTTGCCCCACACTCTGCCAAAGGCCCAAGTTCAAGGCTAAAGGATTTTTATCACATCCAGTTGTAAATCAGGAAGAAGGCAGGATGGTAGGTTCACTTTGGAGCCTCAGGGACAAAGGTTTTCTGGCAGCAGCTTAGTCGGGGAGCAGTTCCTCCCACACCTGGCATCTCAGGAGATGTGTCTGAACACCGGGACAGCCGCTCACCAGACAGCCACTTGCCGGCCGGCACCGCCCCTCCTCACCGACCAGCACTTGGAAGGCTCCAAGCGGCGAGGGGCCAGCCTGACTACAGCCACCCAAACATCTCAGAGAACAAGGAAGCCCGACATGCTGGCTCCCAGAATGCAACATGCACACGGGAGACGCGCCGTGGGCTCATCAGCCCTCCTCCCAGGACATCACTGCACAACCTGGCGCTCAAGCCTGTTCAGAGCCCGCCTTAGTGGAAAAGGTACATTCCCACTGGGGTATGTAAGCTGACCCCACACACACAGGTGCACACTCACCCCTACAGACCTGCAGGCACACACCCAACAGGTGCACACTCACTCCTACACACTTGCACACACATACACATGTGCATACTCACCCCTACACACCTGCAGGCACACACTGACAGGTGCACACTCACTCCTGCACACTTGCAGGCACACACTCACAGGCGCACACTCCTATACATTTGCACGCACACACTCACAGGTGTGCACACTCCTGCACGCCTGCAGGCACACACTCACAGGCGCACACTCACTCCTGCACACTTGCAGGCACACACTCACAGGCGCACACTCCTATACATTTGCACGCACACACTCACAGGTGTGCACACTCCTGCACGCCTGCAGGCACACACTCACAGGCGCACACTCACTCCTGCACACTTGCAGGCACACACTCACAGGCGCACACTCCTATACATTTGCACGCACACACTCACAGGTGTGCACACTCCTGCACGCCTGCAGGCACACACTCACAGGCGCACACTCACTCCTGCACACTTGCAGGCACACACTCACAGGCGCACACTCCTATACATTTGCACGCACACACTCACAGGTGTGCACACTCCTGCACGCCTGCAGGCACACACTCACAGGCGCACACTCACTCCTGCACACTTGCAGGCACACACTCACAGGCGCACACTCCTATACATTTGCACGCACACACTCACAGGTGTGCACACTCCTGCACGCCTGCAGGCACACACTCACAGGCGCACACTCACTCCTGCACACTTGCAGGCACACACTCACAGGCGCACACTCCTATACATTTGCACGCACACACTCACAGGTGTGCACACTCACTCCTGCACACCTGCAGGCACACACTGACAGGTGCACACTGACAGGTGCACACTCACAGGTGTGCACACTCACTCCTGCACACCTGCACACATGCACACTCACCAAACACTACGGGTAGAAGCAGCTGAGATATGGGGGTTGAGGTCAGAGGTCAAACCCCAACTCTGCCCCCAACTCACCATTTCCTTGAGTGTAAAGCCAGGGGCATGACCCCAACCTCTGCTAAACGTCACCCTGAGTGACAGGCTATTTGCAAAAACCAAACATGCTTACCCGCCCCCAGGGTAAGCACGTGCCTCACGAGGATGTTCAGACCGTCTCTGGGGGAAGCCCTGCTTCTGGGAATTTTGACTCATCTGCTTTCAAATCACAACCTACCCACTGCCAGGGGTCAGGTTCAGGGCTGAGCAGACCGGCCGTGGGGCCGTCCCGGGTCTTACCGCGTGGCCAGCTTGTGGCAGACGACGCCCGAATCAGTGATGACCTCACTCAGCCTCAGCTCCAGGTGCACCTTGCCCTGGAAGGCACAAGGACAGGGGTCACGGGGGCCATGAGCAGCGGGAGCTCGCAGGCTCTCATCAAGGACTGGTGACACCTGACACCTGACCCTGCAAGGCATCCACGGCCCGTCTACCTGCCCAGCTCAGATCCCAGAGTTTACGCCTCCAGCCCTCCTGCTTTATGTTGGGCAGGCTGCTAACGGCAAGCACTGCTTCAGAAGAAAGAAAAGGAAAGGCCCGGAGGGCGCAGTGTCTGCAGCGTGTCCGGCCGCCGATTGGGCTGAGCTCACGGCACGTCGGGGGCCGTGGGCAGCAAGGGCAGCCCTGCTGCCGTCTTGGTGTCTGCCGTGAGGCTGGTTGGAGGTCGGGAGCCTCAGCCCTGCTCTTCAGGAATGAAGTCAGTGCTCACGGATGCTCTGGGAGGAGGGGGCCGGCTGGAGGAGCGCAGCTGGGCGGGGGCTGTGTGTGCAAAGGACCCCTGGCTGAGGACAGCAAGTGGGCAGGACGGACAGATGGACACAGCCAGGGCATTATCAGGGCTGCAAACAGAGCAGGGAAGACGAGTTCCCAAAAGTCCAACAGGAGGAGTGCGGTGCGGGTGCTTCTGGGAGTGAGTGTGACGTTAAACTAGACCGGTTCTCCTTAGAAGACAGCGGCACTGGGTCACTGTCTCCAAGTTCCTTGCCAAAACCTCCCACGGACACAGGGGCCACTGGCTGCTTGGGGGCACATTCAAGTGTCCCCTGGGCTTGCTCTGACCCCAACGGGAACCAGGCCCTCACCTCTCCAGGGAGGTGGCTCCAGAACCCCTGCTGGGCTGAGGGCTGGGGTGGTCCCCCTCCCACAGGAGGGTCAGCTGAATCCTGCTAATTAGCTGTGAGCCCAGGCAAGACGTACTAAGACTTCAGCAAGGGTTCTTGCGTTATGCTGGTCTGAGAGAAGAGAGACTCAGAGCATTGAAAACGCTGACTTCATAAGACTTCCCAGTCTTACTTAAGGGGAATAATGACTGAACAGCATTACAGACCCACACGAAACGTCCACTGGGACAGACCAACCTGACTTAAAATACACGTTAGCTAGTCTAGAAAGCATCACAGCCACTCTCAGACCACACTGGAAACTGAACTAGAACTCAGTGATAGATAGAGAGCTAAAAATAACAAAATATATGGAGATTAAACAACATATTTCCAAATAACAAGGAGGCCAAAGCAGAAGTTTCAGGAAAAAAAAAAAACACTGAATTTGTTTCTTTTCATAAGTTGACATGAAATAAAGCATCAAGATTTATGAGATGTAGCCAAAGCAACATTTAGAGGGAAATTCAAAGCAGTGAATCCAGATATTGGAAAAGATGGAAGGTCTAAAAATCAATAATCTAAGCTTCCACCTTAGGGAACTAGGATAAGAAGACAAATTAAATCTAAAGTGCCGGAAGAAAACAAATAACTTGAATCAAAGCAGCAATCAATGAAAACGAAAACAGGAAATCAATAGAGAAAATACATAAACCAAAGCGACTTTAAAAAACAGCAGTAAAATTGGTAAACTTCTAGCTATGCTAAAAAAAGAGAAAGAAGACACGTTACTAAACCAGAAATGAAAGTGAGGCGTCGCTGCTGGCTCCCGGAAACCAGCTGTGGCTCAGATAGCGTGGCTGAGATCCACAGAGGGTGCCACGCGTGCTCGCGTCAGCCCACAAGGGCACACGCAGGCACACCCAGGACTGGCGGGACCCGAGTGGTGTCGGTGGCCCTGCCCAGGTGCACAGATGTCACCAGGCAGGGTCTGGGGAGGGACAGGGCCTCGTCCCGATGTGTCTCTGAGTGTAAAGAGGCTAACCAGCATGCCCTGGGCAGCATTGTCTGTGACTTCCTACGACTCAATAACACCTTCAGAAGTAAAGGTGAAGCTTTTTCACAAGGCAAGAACAAGGGAAGCCAGCACTCGCCACCGGAGCAGCATTGAGTCTGGGGACTAAGCAGTGGGTCTGTCGCGGCTGCAGGTGAAGTCTTCACAACAGCGGGGACGGGAGTGAAGCTCATGCAGCACACGCGTCTGAACCCTCCTGAGGGGGGGCCTCCTGGGCACCCGAGCAGCAGCGGCCTCTGTCCTCCACCAGCATCGGTGTCACAGTCAGGACCGCCCCTGGACTCGGGCACCACCCCTCATTCTGAGTGATCACAGGCCCCTCCGCCTCCCGCAGCACATGGGCCTCAGTCAGATCAACCAAGCATGAGCTCCCTCACCACACCTTGGGCGTCTCCACGCACCTGTGTGCCATCTCCTTGTCACTGTCTGGGCATTGCCCCAGCGGCCATGAGGCGCCCGCAGCAGAAATCCTGAGCCCCAGCACGCAGCTCCAAGTTCAGTGGAGGCCCTGGGCCCACAAGGAGGCATGTGGACACTGGGCCAGGAGCCCGCAAAGGCCGCGTGGGCCCTCCTAGAGTTTGAACCCCGGGAAGGCCTCATGGGCCCCCCTAGAGGATGTGGCCCGTGACCCTGCTGTTTGACCCCCGGGAAGGCCTCGTGGGCCCCCCTAGAGGATGTGGCCCGTGACCCTGCTGTTTGACCCCCGGGAAGGCCTCGTGGGCCCCCCTAGAGGATGTGGCCCGTGACCCTGCTGTTTGATCCCCGGGAAGGCCTCATGGGTCCCCCTAGAGGATGTGGCCCGTGACCCGGCTGCTTACAAAACCCCGCGTTATGGTGAGGATGCCGAGGCCCAGAGCACCAGGGCCACGCTCTCCTGAGCACAGCACTGGCCCCGGGCTGCCACACTGCCCGCAGAGGCTCTGGTCCTGGAACTCCAGGCACAGCCTGGGCTCGGGGACAGGCTGACGAGGAGCACAGGCAGGGTCACCAGGGAAGAGAAGATGCAAGCAGGCCCCCCATCGAGCATCTCCTGGGCCCTGGGCCCAGGCAGCGGCCCTGCTGGGGGAGAAGCCCCGGGCCTGGTCAAGGTGGCACTCCCAGGTAACACATGACCGGGGCACTGGGTGGGCCCTGGGGACACTCAGGCCATGGGCCCTCATCACCCCTTCAGGCCTTTCTGGGGCAGGGAGCCAGGAACACGCGTGGGCGCCTCCAGTAGACACAGGCCCACAGCCTTAGGTTTTCTCACCTTATTCTCTTTTTATCTTCAATTATCTGTTATGGTCTTTTGCATTTTACATTTTTAAGCTGCACAACTAAGTCTGACAGCAACCAACGAACAAACAAAATGAACCACCCAGAAGGACACGCCGAGGGGGCAGTCTGCTAACCCTTGTTTCCACTGAAGACCAGAATCCTGCGTCTGTTTCTCTGGCCACAATCACCTCCACCTGAGGCACCTGGTCCTGTGGACTCCGCGAGCCTCACCTGCACTTCAGAGTCGGCGTCCACATGCTGTAGCTGGAACCACGTGTCCCTGTTGTGGTACTTCTGCAGGTCCTCTTTCTGGATGGCCACCTTTCCTGGAAGACCAACGCAGAGGAGACCAGTCACGAGGGGCCGATCTGCCCGCCTGACCTGCCCTGCCGGTAGGATCTCCACAGTCAGCGTCAGTCATCTCAGACGGAAACCCAGAATAGTGCATCAGGAGACGGACAATGCGGTAAGGTCACAGAGGCCACATTCTGTCTTGGAAGTGCCACGTCCACCCAAACACAGCCTGCCACTGCCATGGCGTCCACAGCCTGAACCTGGGTGGGCTCCTCCTCCCATGTCACCCAGACTGTGGCTCAGGGACACCTGGTGGAAATCCTACAGGTCGGAGGGGCGGCTCTGCCAGGGGTGCTGCCTGGGCCTGGGGCGGGATGTGTGGGATGGGGTGAGGGGGCAGGAACCCAAGACAGCCACATCGCAGCCCCTCCTGCCTCAACATCCATGCTGTGGCACATGGTGGGTGGTGTCTGCTGAGGACTTTGCTGCACATCCCCTGGAAATGTGTGTGCTTGCATGAGCCACGGCTGAGAACTCACGCATGTGCACACCTAGTGTGTGTGCTTGCCTGAGCCACGGCTGAGAACTCACGCGTGTGTACACCTACTGTGTGTGTGCTTGTGTGAGCCACGGCTGAGAAATCATGCGTGTGCACACCTAGTGTGTGTGTGCTTGCCTGAGCCATGGCTGAGAACTCACGCGTGTGCACACCTATGGTGTGTGCTTGTGTGAGCCACGGCTGAGAACTCACGCGTGTGCACACCTAGTGTGTGTGCTTGCCTGAGCCACGGCTGAGAACTCATGTGTGTGCACACCTACTGTGTGTGTGCTTGTGTGAGCCATGGCTGAGAACTCATGCGTGTGCATATCTAGCTCATGGGAGCATGCACAGTTGGTTCACACAGTGTGCATGTGTGTGCATTTAGCTTATATAGCATGCGTGCACACGTGTTCCTGTCAGGCCTGCGGGATGAGCTGGTTATCACCCTACCGGGTCTACGAATCAGTGTTTCTCAACATGTGATCATGGGCCCCCTGCATTGAAACAGCCGCAGGGCTTCCTAATGCAAGTTCCTGGGCTTGTTACAGATGAGAAAGCAGCTTCCGGGGTGGAGCAATCTCCAGAGGAATTCCTCCTGGAATCTGCATTTCCACAAAATCCCCAGGGAACTCCTGGGGTCCCAAAGTTTGAGGATGCCCACTCTCAACAGTTTTACGTTCCTGACGCAGGCTTGGTACTGAGGAGTCAGAACGTCAGTGAAAACATATACATAAATACACGTGTGTGATGTATATTACCTGGCACAGAATTGAGTATTTAAATATATATCTACAACCATCATGCATCATTCATTCACCTTTTTCTTTCCAAAAAAGCACATGGGCAGTTAGCAGATACATGCCTACGGCTTGGGGGGACAGAGGACATCAGGCTGCCCACATGTCCCCACACTCCGTGGCCTTGAGCATGGGGACCACACTGTCCACCACGGGAGGGGAGGTGGGAGCCTGGCCATGTAAGCAGCCCTGTACACGTGTGTGTGCACATGTACACACATGTCTTAAATACACAGTAAATCACATACAGAAATAGGAACAATAAAGGACAACATAAAATTACACGCTTTTTAAATTCAGTTGTTTCCTTTTGGAGCTCGGAACACACAGCCTAAATCAGGACCACAGTCTCGTCACCACAGGCAACACTAGTGAAGAGCCCGGAGCTGGCGGGCCAGCCCTGCCCTCACCCAGGACATACAGTCCTCCTTTCCCAGGAGGAGTGCTCCATCTTGGGCTTCCGCAAAGGTACATGCCGGCTCCCACGAGACAGGAGCACTGGCAGCCTCACAGGGAGGCCTGCCCCGTGGGTCCCCAAACCTTCTGTCCTCTCACTTCATCCAGCAGCCGTCTGGGGGCAGGCGGCAGGTCGCTGATGCGGCCTGGTCACTGAACAGATGGCCTGTCCTGTGAGGCTCTGGGTCTCCTGCCTCATCAGGCACCTTGCCTTCCTATCTTTCTGCCTCGTGCTTCTCCCAGACACTGTCCCACCAGGCTCTCCCACGATGCACCCCCCTCTATGGCTCCCCTGGGACCTGCAGGCGGCCTCGCTGGGGCCTGGTCCCGTCTGCCAGGAGTGGGGAGGTTTGAGGAGAAGGATGCCCTGATGCTGGCTCTGGGGGCTCTGGACATGCACCCACAATATAGGCGGTGATATCAAAGCCAGAGCAGTGAGGAGGTGTCAGCCCCAGAGGGTCCTGCACAATCCGTACCCCCAGCCCCTCCTTTGTCTCGACCCTCCTCCGAAACCTGCTGTCCCTTCACTAAGATGTGCTGCTAACCCACGTCACCAGCTCCTCCTCATTGCTGAGGTGTCTCCCCGCCACATGTGCTTTAAGAGGAATTGAAAATGCTTGTTTCTTCTTGTTAGTCTGTCTTCTGTCTAGTTTTGCAAGGGCAGTTGAAGTACCCAGGTGGGTGAGACAAGGTCTCTGCCCTGCAGTTTTCACACCCTGGACTCCAGACATTGACAGATGCACCTGCCAGGCACAGTGGGAAGTTAGAAATGAAACAGGGGCACGCCACCCCGAGAGCTGCGGTGGCTCAAGCCCAGCCCTCTGTGCACAGTGGACGCAGCAGGGCCAGCCCCAACCCCTGCTCACGTCAACCTCGCTGGCTCAGCTCCGGCCATGCAGAGCCGAATCCTGCCCACCATGGGCCTCACAGGGCACAGCACACAGGCTCAGATGCGGAGCCCATGCCAGGGAGGAGGCAGAGGGCGCCCGTCACACAGCAGCACAGGCTGCCGCAGAGAACAGGCCCCAGGAGAGCAGAGGACTCAAGTCACAGCCAGGAGGGCCTTCCTCCAGCCAGCGCCAGCGACCCACCCAGACTCCTCCCCTACCACCACGCCTGGTTTCGGGGGGCATCTCGCCAGGGTCTGACGTGGGTTCCCCCACCTCTGACCTGCTGTCAGCAGGCAGAGCCCCCAGGAGAAGACTGCTGCTTCTCTGCTTGGCTCCTACAAAACTCTACCCTTTTCCCTGATGGGAATATGACTTTGAGTCTTGCAGGCATAAAGCCACAAGAAACAAACATTTCTTGGAACTGAATTGGGCAACACATTTCATTGAAAAGGGATAAAGAAATTTTCAGACTCCATGATTAGTTCAGCTGGATAGGAGCGTTACATTTGAAGTTTGAGATTTTAAGTAACCACAGTGTTTTCAGGATTTTTTTACTGGAGTAGGGAGGAGTCACATATTTAATACTCAAACGACTTCTACAACTTACACATCAGTACTACTTTATTTTTCAAAGTACTTAATTTAAATTTAAGTAGGTAATACAGAAACAGAGAATAAAATCTGAAACATCCAAAAAGATATAAAATACAGCTAAGAATAAGTTTGTCTCTCCCCTGCTACAGAGATTCCACCTTGGGGTCACCTCTGTCACCAGCTGCCAGCCTGTCCTTCTAGAGGCTGACCACGTCAAGAACATACGGACGTGCACTCTTTACATGTGAGAGGCAGTTCTTCCACAGGCTGTCCTGGGGAGCACTGACCTGCAAACCACTTAAATGTGCCCAACGTGCCATAATCCATCGCTTCCCTGATTGATCTGGGTGACATCAGGTCACTATGTCCCCTGGGCCTCACCCACTCAGGAGGAAAGGCGCACAGCTGTTCCACCACTAAAATTCCCATGTGTTACTTCCTCTGGTGGCACTGTACCTGCTGGGGTCTATTCAGAAGAGACAAGCGTGTCAGGTAGTTCAAGAAGCGGCATGTGATGGGGGGACAGGTAAGGCACAGGGGTGGGGGAAGGTGGGCAGCCAAGGGTGACACCTTCAGGATGGCAGCTAAGGGAGGACAGCTAGATGCCCCCCCAAGACAGGCGGGGGCAGAGACACTCGGCACTCCTGTTCACCCTGGGGTCTAGCAGGTGCACAGAGGCAGAGAGAGAAACAAGGGCCTGCAGACTCGAAGGGAAGAAATAAGCCTTTACTTACAGAATCTACAGGAAAAGCTAGTAGAGTAGCTGTGTTTAGCAAACCACAGAATACAAAGTCAGTACATAAAAATCAAGTATATTTGTGCATAGAAGCAATGACAGTGGAAACTGAAATTGAAAAGACACTAACACACACCCATAAAGTGATGGTTTTATGGCTTGAGCTTTTGGTGTACTACATGAGAAATCTTTGTCTACAGCATCAAAAACATAAATACAGGGATACATGTATATATAAATACACACACATGTACACACACATGTATAAACACAAATATAGGAATATATGTACATATAAACACACACACACATGTACATACACACACACTCCCCACACATATGTGTGTGTGCATGCAAGATGTGTATGCTGAAAACACATCACAAAATCCTGATGAAAGAAATTAAAGACCCAAGAACGTGGAGAGACATGCCATGCTGGAGGGTCTGAGACTCAATTTTCTTAAAGTGTTAATTCTCCCCAAATTAATCTACAGATCAATGTAATCTCAATTATCTTGGAAATTGAGAAGCAGATCAAAAATGTAAATGACAATTCAAAGGACCTAAAATAGCAAAACAAGTTTGGAAAAGGACAAAGCTGATGAGCTCAGAGGACTGATTTAAGACTTACTGTGAAAATACAGGAATTGAGACAGTGTGATATTGGTGTGAGGAAAGGAGTGCACATCAGGGGAACAGAACACAGAAGCCACAGGCAGACCCATGCGTGTAAAGTCAACTGATTCTCAAAAGATGTTACGGAAATTCAACTGGACATCTATAAGGAGAAAAACAAACCTTGTTATTTGTAAAATATACTTGAAATAGATCTAAATATAAGAACTAAAAACAAAAACTTTCTAGAAGAAAAAAACAGAAGATCCTCACAACCCTGCGGTAGGAAAAGAATTCTTAGATATGACACCAAAAATACAAACTATAAAAAAAGTTTTTATAAATTGGAGTTCATCAAAATTAAAAACTTCTGCTCTTCAAAAGACACTAGTAAGAAAATGAAAAGACAAGCCACAGGCTAGAAGAAAATATCTGTAAATACACATCTGATAAAGGACTTGTATCCAGAATACAGTTTAAAAACTTTGAAAATCTCAACAAGAGAGCCCAATTAAAAGGGCAAAGATGTGAACAATTTACCAAAGGAGAGATATAGATGGTAAATCAGCACACGAAAAGATGCCCAAATAATTCTTCATTATGAAAAAACAGTAAAAAATACAGTAAGATACTACACACATATTAGAATGGCAAAAATGAACTGAAAATAAAGGAAGATGACACAAGTGCTAGACAGAACTGAAGACGGCGCATTAGGAAAGCAGAGTCAGTTTCTAACAGAGGGAAACACACTGCAGGGCATAAAAATCTTTCTTCTCCTACTCTCTCAGGTTCTCTGGCCTCTGTAATGAAAGAAAAATTAACAAGGGAAAACAGACAGGGTTATTAACATGTATCTCAGATACATGAGGGGAAGCCTGGCAACGAGTCACTCCAGGAGGCAGCAGCAACTCGGAGCATCTCCACCTAAAACAACAGTCACGGATTTTCAGAGGCGTGGTGACGCAGAGGAAGAGCTTCAGGGAACGAGGGGTCCAGAGGGCGCGCGACGTGGGGTCCTCGGGGGTCGCCTCCGGCTGATCAGGGTCGAGAGTTGTCCCGGGCTGCAGGGCAGAGAGATTTCCATGTGTCCGCTTCTTCTCGACTGCCTTCAGCTCAAACAATTCCTTATACCAAAATGGCCTATTAGAGACGGCAAATTCTGCTGTCTTCTAAAGCCTACAGAATGCCCCAGCAATCTCACTTCTAGGTATTTTCTAAGAGAAATAAAACCATTTGTCAACACAAACACCTAAACAAGAAAGTTGAGGGCAGCTTTGTTTACGTCACAAAAACCAGCACGCAACCCCACCCCCATCTGGTGATGAGTGGGCAGAAGCAGACTTCCCTGCGACGGGCACAGTGCACAGACTGCAGCTCAATAAACCAGCCTGCAGACAAGGGGCCCAAGGACTCACAGCAAGCCCCCGCCTTTCAGAGAAACGGCAGGACGCCCCTCACATCCTGACAAAAGTGGGGGACAGTGGGAGGAGCCCGGCCCAGCACGGCCAGCCCCACCAGCCACCCTCCCAGAGCCGGCGGCCCTGACCACACTGGCACGAGCATCTCTGCAGCCTCCCTGGGCACCCGGGACCCGGCCTGTGGGGGGGCCCACATGGGGGCCGCATGGGCAGAACCGGGCGCCGTGCCATCAGATCACACGGCAGATGTGAGAAGCCGGTGACACTGTGCTTGTTTCTGTGACACAAATTTATACCCTAGAATGTGGTTTCTCATCCTGGTAACAACATAATTGCTAGTCATAACTTTAAATTACCCCTGGAGATCAGACAGCCTCTTATTTTTATGGCTGTGAGAACAATTTTGAAAACTCTAAATCTGGTTGCACCCTGACACATCCCAATTTTAAAGCCACCAGGAATTGCTAAACCATAATTTTGCTAGTTATCTTTAAAAATAGCAGGTGCCTTAAACAGAATGATTAATAAACATCTTTGTTGTTCAACTCGCTCAGTCATGTCCAACTCTTTGTGACCACATGGACTGCAGCACACCAGGCTTCTCTGTCCTTCACCGTCTCCCAGAGCTTGCTCAAGCACATGTCCATCTAGTTGGTGATGCCATCCAACCATCTCGTCCTCTGTTGTCCCTTTCTCCTCCTGCCTTCAATCTTTCCCAGCATCAGGGTCTTTCCCAATGAGTCAATCCTTCGCATCAGGTGACCAAAGTATTGGAGTTTCCGCTTCAGCATCAGTCCTTCCAATGAACATTCAGAACTGATTTCCTTTAGGATGGACTGGCTGGATCTCCTTGCAGTCCAAGGGCCTCTCAAGAATCTTCTCCAACACCACAGTTCAAAAGCATCAATTCTCTGGTGCTCAGCCTTCTTTATGGTCCAACTCTCACATCCATACATGACTACTGGAAAATCCATAGCTTTGACTAGCTAGAACTTTGTTGGCAAAGTAATGTCTCTGCTTTTTAATATGCTGTCTAGATTGGTCATAGGTTTTCTTCCAAGGAGCAAGTGTCTTTTAATTTCATGGCTAGTGACCATCTGCAGTGATTTTGGACCCCAAGAAAATAGTCTGTCACTGTTTCCATTGTTTCCCCATCTATTTGCCATGAAGTGATGCCATGATCTTTGTTTTTTGAATTTGCTGAGTTTTAAGCCAGCTTTTTCACCCTCCTCTTTCACTTTCATCAAGAGGCTCTCTGGTCCCTCTTTGCTTTCTAAAATAAGGGTATGTTACTGCATACCTGAGGTTATTGATGTTTCTCCCACCAAACTTGATTCCAGATTGTGCTTCATCCAGCCTGGCATTTTGCTCCATCAGGTAACACGTCACATTCCAAACCCACTGCTCTGTTCGCTTTCCTCCTTGAACAAACCCTGGTGTGTCCAGCATCAGCTGGACAGAGACACCCCCGTCACTGCGCAGGGAGCCCAAGGCCACGGGAAGTGAGGTCCGGTGGACACAAAAGAGCCGCTCCAACAGTGACAGTGAACATAGCATGCACCGAGGGGCAGCCTCTTGCTGAGCAGGGTCTTGGCCAACGGTGGTGGCCACACGGGCACCGGGGAAGGGCCTGCGGTGGGCTCCAGCTCGGGAGGCACCAGACAAGGGCACCTCTCAGTAGAGGCTGGAGCCCATGTCTGGCCTCGAGGAGGAACCACCAGGGCTTGACAGCTGCTAAGGGTTCATTCGGGCACCATCCTGAGGGCAAAGGTGGCCAGGCCTACAGAGTGAGTGGCATGAAAGTGCCCCCCGCCTCCCCCACATGGAAAACCTTCCGGATCGAGAGTTAAAGGTCCTGCTGAAAGCCCAACCACAGCTCCATCTTAAACAAGTCAAGTTATGAATTGCCTGAGTTCCTGTGTGATCCAGGCCATGCACTTGTCGAACAGACCCTGGTGACCTCAACTTAAAACTCAGCAGTTTCCAAGAATGCTACTTGTTGTCCAGACCCAGTAACCAGCATCTGCATCTTGACAAGTGTGGGAACCTCTGATCCATGTGCTGGGAACTCTGCTAGACGCTTCCTCAAAGGACCTCAGCGCCAGCACTGCCTTCAGACTTTTTCTGAGGGCTGCTGGCCTAGACACAAACACCCTTGACCAGTCACGTGTGGGTGGTAAGTGGAGTGAGCCAGACGCCCCAGGAGTGGGTGGGAGACTGCAGGGTCAGGGGCTGTCAGAGTCAACCGCTCTGCCCCAGAGCAAGCACTGAGACTGCTCCCACCAGGAGCAGCCAGGCCACCAACGATCAGCTGGATCCCGAGGCTACAGCTGAGCTCGTTTTGGGGGCTTGGGTCTCTGGGGCCAAGGGAACTGATAGGGCTTTCCTGGGACAAAGGTGCACCCCCCAAAGGGCAGCTCTGGGCTGCTCCCCATTTAAGATGGGCCTCACTCTCTCCAGGATGCTGGTGCATCTGGGACTCTGACACCTCTGAGAGTGCCTGAACATCTTTGAGAGTCCCCAACAACCCCTGAGAGCATTCCAACACCCTTGAGAGCACCCCAACACCCCTGAGAGCACCCAACACCTCTGAGAGCACCCCAACACCCCTGAGAGCACCCAACACCTCTGAGAGCACCCCAACACCCCTGAGAGCATCCCAACACCCCTGAGAGCACCCTAACAGCTGAGAGCACCCCAACACCCCCTGAGAGCACCCCAACACCCCTGAGAGCACCTCAACACCTCTGAGAGCACCCCAACACCCCTGAGTACACCAACACCTCTGAGAATACCCCACTAGTTCTGAGAGCACCCCAACACCCATGAGAGTACCTCAACAACTCTGAGAGCACCTCAACACTTCTGAGAGCACCCCAACACCTTGAGAACAGCCCCCCATAGGTGGGTGCTGGGTGTCAGGGAGAGGCAGGGGCTGGGGTGGTTGGAGGAGCCCTCGGGAATCATTTGGGGGCAGGTCCAGGGACCCCACTCTAGCCCTGAGGGACGGCTCCAAAGGTGTTTCCATGAGCTCGTGGGGTGTTGCCCCACACCCACTGATGGCCAGCCGGGGACAGCCAGCAAGGGCAGGTGAGACGCTGGTGCAGTTCTCTGGCTCAGATGGGGTGTCCAGGAGATGCCCCAGTTCCTCCAGAACAAGTCCCCATTCAGAAGAGGAGGAGAAAATGAAGAATACACCTGGTTGGTTGGTCGGGACCTACCTATGATGGAATCCCTCCGGAAAACGTCTCGATCAAAAATATAAAAGGACAGGTGACGGAAACTCCGCGGAATCTCGCAGTAGAAGTCCTCTCCATAGAAGGGGCTAGACGGAGACAGAGGGACACTGTTAGACTCTGTGAGCCACGTCCCCAGTCCTGGGGCGTACCGGGGCTGGGGGAGACCATCCTGGGGTGTCAGTCCTGGAGGGCACTAGTCCTGGGGGTGTCATTCCTAGGGAATCAGTCCCAGGGTGTTAGTCCTGGAGGGGAATAGCCCTGGGGGTGTCAGTCCTGGGGGACATGAGTTCCTGGGTGTGTCGGTCCTGGAGGGGACCAGGCCTGGGGGTGTCATTCCTAGGGAATCAGTCCTGGGGTGTCAGTCCTGGAGGGGACCAGTCCTGGGGGGTGTCAGCCCTGGGGGACATGAGTTCCTGAGTGTGTCAGTCCTGGAGGGGACCAGCCCTGCAGGTGTCAGTCCTGGGGGTGTCATCCTAGGGGGATCAGTCCTCAGCGGGGAGCACAAGGTTGGGCTATCACGGTCCAGGCCACTCCCTCTTGGTCAAGGGAAAGCCCACAGTGTCTCTTTGTGGGGACAGAGTTGGAAGCATTTTTCCAAGATAAAGGAAGCTGTGGATGGTGGGGAGCAGGGTGAGACTCCCTCGTGTGCCTGTCAGACGGTCTCTCCTTTCTGGGGGACCCAGGGGGCCACACAGCTCCAGCCCGCCCTGTTGGCACCTTTGCCCAGGCAGCTCTACACACAGGTCATAGAGGCACGGTTGCAGGCTTCTCCAGATAAAGGGAATGTGCAGCCCAGGGACCAGTTGGCCTGAACTATGGCTGTATGACAAGGGTTTAATACCAGCAGCGCCCTGCCCTGAGGTCAGCCAGAGTGCCTTCCTTGCTAATTACAGGGAGAAGTTCAAAAGCATATTCCCCTTTCCCTGAGCCCAGATGTGCAAACACCTCCCTCTGCCAGCGGTCATTTCCCACTCCCCACCCCCCAACACCATGCCAGGCTGGCACCGCACCGCCCCCACCAGGGCCAGCCTTGAAAAAAGAACTTGGTTTTCCCCTTTCTTGCTGTCCTATGTCCAAACATGGGCATCCGTTCCCCAGGTCTGGGGCGGGGGGGAGGGGAGGGCAGGAGCCACGGAATAGAGCGGAGCCTCCCATGAGCCCCAGATGCGCCACAGGGCAGCCCACACAGAGCCCGGGGTCCAGAAGTGGGCTCAGGACCACCCTGCAGTGCAGCGAGAGCCAGAAGCCACGCAGGCAGGGCCAGGCCTCCAGAAAGGGCGCCGGCCAGATCAAACAGCTCAGCGTCTGGCTAATAACTGCACGTTGGTTAAGCCATTCCCTAAAACCTGTAGTGAAATTCATTAAGCCAAACACCGTATCCAAGCATCCACAGGAGACGAGTCAAGAAGGGCAGGGCCAGCATCCACAGGGCCAGTGCTACGGGGGGTGGTCTCACCTCACCCACAGCCGCCCCAGGGCTGGGATGCCCAGCCACCCCGGGCATGATCTTGCTCAGCTCCCAGAGGCAGCAGAAACTCCTTCTAGCTTCTTCAGAGTCCCTCTCGCACTTCCTCTAAACGGTTTTAAACTCCTTTAAAATCGCCATGCAGTATGGCCCTCGGCGCCTGTGAGCATGCATTATGACAGCTTCTGTTTGAGGCTCCCAGATCCTCTCCAGAAGCTCAGGTTCCCCCAGTCAGGGGTCACGGCCAGAGCGCAGGGCAGGCCAGCTTCCAGAGAGAAAGCCGCTCCATCCACACAAGGGTGTGGACAGTCAGCCGCATCTCTCTGGCCGCTGCTCACATCTGCATGAGACTGTGGGCAGGGCCCGTGGCCAGGGCAGCTCCTCTCCCCTCCCAGACTGTCTTCCTGCCTGGAAGCCCCTGCTCACGTGGGGTCTACCACCCAGCTCACATCCCACAAGGGGCCCCCCACACCCCCCAGGGAAATCATGTGTCCTCACCAACAAGTCACACCTGGATGGCCCTTTTCCCTAAAGCAACTGAGCCACCAGACCCCAGAAGCTTCAGCAAGGCCCCGAGGGAAGGAGGGTATCGGGGAGACCCCTGGGGCGAGGGGTCAGCAGCCTGGGAACCCCTGGGGGAGCCCAGGGGTCCCATTAACTGACCCCCAGACTGCCCGGCCCGCAGGCCCACAGGGACGGACTGACCCCTCAGAGGGGCGGACGGGGTGCAGCCACGGTCTCTCCTGCAGGGCCCTGGCCTGGTTGATGCCTGGACACTGTGGTCAGCAGGGCGTCTGGGAGCTCAGAGAGAAGTCCCCCATCCTGAGACTCAGGGGCTCAGGGAGGATGGAGAAGGTGCTGGGGGGATGCTCTGAGCTGCAGGCCCGCCCTGGACCAGACAGCCCCCAGGACTACAGGGGGAGGGTCCCCCTAGAGCCCCCTGGGACTGTGGGGGGGAGGGTCCTCTCAGAGCCCCCGGGACTGTGGGGAGGGTACCCTCAGAGTCCCCGGGATTGTGGGGAGGGTCTCCCTAGAGCCCCCGGGACTGTGGGGGGAGGGTCCCCCTAGAGCCCCCGGGACTGTAGGGGGGTATACCCACTCCAGGTGGTATGGAACGTCTGGACCTGAGACCTGCATTGCTGTCAAAAATACTTTAAGCTTTAACCTGAGAAATTAGAGAGAAAAATGTAAGCAAAGAAGATGTTATTTGTACAGTCTCATAATGTCAGTTGCTGTTTTCTAGTCAACAACTTGGTTTTCATTAAAAACATCTGAGAAAATGACATCTTTCCCCTCAAACCACAGACTTCCTCTCCCCTGTCACACCCTAACCCCAAACAGCTTCTCCCTCGGAAGACTGCGGAGGCCTTTCTGGGTCTAGTCACTCCCATCACACAAAGCTCTATTTTCCATGCAATTTGCCTCTCTTGGAAGGAACAGAAGGACCCTCTCAAGTCACTGACCCTCATGCTCCCTCTGGCTGCAAACCGGAAGCTCACGCCCACCCACTAGGGAACAGCCTTTCATTTGGGAAAGTCCTTGGCAAGAGCGGCCGACCGAGATTCTGTAATTACAGCCCAATCAATGCTCTAGCTCCTCCTCCCTGCGGTCCAGAAAGCGGTTATTTAAGAAACTTCTAATTACGTAAAAGGACAATACCTACAAACAAAAGAACAAAACACCACCTGTGATCCCACTACTCAGAAATGATAACCACACTGGCCTTTAGCTCCTCACACTCCAGGCCATTTTGAGAGCATCCCAAGGTTTAAGCAAAAAGGTCTCTTACTATGAATGCGACTTTGTCACCTGCCTTCCTTGCTCGACAGACACAGCCAAACACGGGCAGGATGTGCCCGCCGTGCACTCGGCAGGGCCCGGGGTCAGGGCTGCAGGCCCACAAGGTCGCACAGCCAAGGCCTGGGGGGTGGGGGAGGAAGCACAGCACACCCAACACAGCCGCCCCTGGGGGAGGCGAGGGTGGGAGCAGGAGCCCCTTCCAACCCGCCCTGTAGAAGCGGACAGCGTCATCCTCAAAATGATCACTTATGTGGACCAATGGAAAGAAAGATCTGCCACTTCGTGGAACGCTCCCGCAAAGGACCAGACCAGCCCAGCTCTGAAGCGAAAGTCGTGCGGTCGTGGCCAACTCTGCAACCGCATGGACTACACAGCTCATGGAATTCTCCAGGCCAGAATAGTGGAGTGGGGAGCCTTTCCCTTTTCCAAGGGATCTTCCCAACCCAGGGTTCAGACCCGGGTCTCCGGCATTGTAGGCGGATTCTTTACCAACTGAGCTATGAGGGAAGACCCTCAAGAGTTCTGTTTCACTTTGTGTGTGTGTGTGTGTGCCCGTGGCATCAACATGCTCCTTTCACTGGATAAGGTGATGGGTTCCTCCACGGGCAGCCTTCAGCCCCATCTGCCCCATCTGTCCCAGCCCGGGGACCCCAGGATGCCTCTGCAGGTGCACCGTGGCCCCAAGCAGGGAGCCATCCAGCCCCAACCCTGACGGCCCAGGTTCACAGAGCCTTAACATTTAAATTAAAGGTAAAGAAATGATGATTTGTCATTTAAATGATGAAAAAGTATGGCTGTAAGAAGTTAAATGTGAACCAGTCCACTTGCAACATCAGGAAGATGCTGCTCTTGGGAGGGAAGAAACTATTCCCGAATCACCTGCTGGAGGTGGCCTGGGATGGACAGAGGCTGGTTTCCCCCGAGACATCCGACCCTGAGAGTTCCCCAGGACATGTGAGTCCAGGTATCTGTGTTCGCTAAACTTTGCTCGCTGACATTCTGCAAACTCTGCAAGTCTATTCCTGCTATCTATTGCTTCTCTTGGGAAATGCACATGATGCTTTATTCTTGTGTCCTCTGTGCATTTTTCTCCTCTGAGCACAAGTTCCCTCGAACATTATACTGCAGAATCCGGAGACGTGGGTTGAAGGAGAAGACTGGATTTGCTTTCAACTGGCTCATCATTGCCTCAGCGGGTGTTACAAACCACTAACCCTGGACTGTATTAATATACGTGCGTGGACTGTGGTTTCCAGACCACAGATGTATGGATTCAGGCTACACACTCACAAGAGCCAGCTCTGATTTCAAGCGTTTGGCACTGAGTGGAGGCAGTTTCCCTTGCTAACTTCTTTAATAGAGCAGGTTACTTGCTTTTACCCTTACACTGCAGAATCAAGATCTGGGAGACCAGCTTGGCCCCCACCAGTGTGAGTAAGATTTTTGCCTCAATGCTAAACACAGTCATATTAGAAACCATTTTTTAAACTGAGGTATAGTTAATTGACAACGTGTTAGTTTCAGGTTCACAGCAAAGTGATTCACACACACACATATTCTTTTTCAGATTTTCTTCCATTATAGGCTATTGCAAGATATTGAATATAGTTCTCTGTGCTTACAAGAGGTCTTTGCTGTTTATCTGTTTTACATATAGTGGTATGTATACGTTAATCGCTCTCTGCCCTCCCCTGTCATGCCCTTTGGTAACCATCAGCTTGTTTTCTATCTGTCTATTTCTGGTTTGTAAGTAAGTTCATTTGTATCTTTTTTTTTAAGATTCCACATGTCAGCAATACCATATGATATTCATTTTTCTGTCTGACTGACATCACTGAGTGTGACAATCTCTTGGTCCATCCATGTTGCTGCAAATGGCATTCTTTCATTCTTTTTTATGACTGAGTAGTATTTCATTGTGTGTGTGTGTGTGTGTGTGTGTGTGTGTGTGTGTGTGTACCACACCTTCTTTATTTATCTGTTGATGTGCATTTTGGTTGTTTGGATGTTTTTACTATTGTAAACAGTGCTGCAGTGAGCACTGGCATGCATGCATCTTATTGAACTATGGCTTTCTCTGGATATACACTCAGGACTGGGACTACTGGATCATACAGTAGTTCTGTTTTTAGTTTTTTAACTAAAAAAACAACTTGTGTCTTGCATCATTTAGTTTTGATTTGCTTTCCTCTAATAATTAGCAATGTTGAACATCTTTTCATGTGCCTGTTGGCTATCTGTATGTCTTTGGAGAAATGTCTAGGTCTTCTGCCCATTTTCTGATTGGGTTGTTTGGTTTTTTGATATTAAGCTATATGAGCTGTTTATATATTCTGGAAATTAACCATTTGTCAGTAGTGTCATTTGCAAATACTTTCTCTAATTCCATAGGTTGTCTTTTCATTTTGCTTATGGTTTCCTTAAAAAAGGAATCAAAAACTATGCAAAAGTGTTTAAGTTTAGCTAGGTCCCATTTGCTTATTGTTTCGTATATTTTTAGGGTCTTGGAATTATTTTGCGCAAATGTGTCTATTTCTTATCAGCTTTAAATTTCTGCTTTCAGCACTTCTGGCCTTATCTTATATATTAGATCAGCACTCAATAAATATTACTTGAGCTAATGAATACATTAACCTTAAAAGCTAGGATATTAACACTGCCTGTGCGGGAAGCATAAATGCTGAGTGAGGGTCAGAAGGAGCGTGTGCTCTGGGCCCTCCTGGAGCTACCCAGCCCCCCTGGATTTACCCAGCCCCCCCTGGAGCTACCCGGACCTCCTGGAGCTACCCAGCCCTCCTGCGGTACCCGGCCCCTGGGCCCGCTTCCGGGGCTGCCCTGGTTCTGGCTGCACCACAGGGAGCTGCCCCACCCGGACGACACCGCTGCACCCAGCTTATGTGCAGCCCGCAGTCTCCCCTCTCTGCCCCCAGAGCACAGTGTCTTGTGCCACTAAAACCAGAAAGTATGGTTTCTATTTCTAAACTCATAAGAAATATTTTTAGGACTGGTCCTCACTTCTTGCCCTCACCTGAGGCAGAGGTTCCTCAACAGATTCACTTCCCAGAGACCCTCACCCAGCAGCCCAGTTTCACAGGGATCAATGTTAATTCTCTAGGTTTATGATTCTCTAACAGAGACTATTTAAACACAGAAGGACTCCTCTCGTGGGGAGCTCACAGAAATAACCCTTGCAGGTTATCCCAAAGCCACAATTGACTCTTGACAAATTCCTCAGTCTTCTTTTGCTTCAACAAATTCCTTCAGAGGATCCGGAGTGTGGACTGAAATAACACAGGGCCTCGGGAGCCACCCTGCTAATGTGGGCAGCGACAGGGCAGATGGTAAAGGGAAGTGTCTCCACATTTCGGGGGCAGGAGATCTTAATGGTTTCTAAAACTTAAGTTCATTAAGTCATCAGAACGTGCTGTTTGTTCCCACTTAGAAGCAGCAATAAGCAAGGATATAATTCATCTGCTAAAAATGTTCTCAAGCCCAAAATAGCTCTGTGGATGGACCCACACAACCCACAGTTCTAAGCTCGAGGGTGGGGCCGCAGCCAGAACCTCTGTCTTGTGCTAGTCAGGACCCCACCCGGCTCTGCTGTTTCTGCAGACCCACACCCCTGCCACACCCACGGGGGGGNGGGGGGGGGGGTGGGCAGCAAGGCGCCGCCCCCAGCATGCTGTGACCACAGGCTACAGTTCCCACCCTGGGGTGGGGCACCTAGGGTGGAGTCAGGGCCAGGGGGCCTGGGGCTGGTGGGAAATGCGAATCACACCCCGCCAGAACCAACCGGAACCAACGGGGCTTGAACAGTCTCTGGGGGATTCCTACACAAGCTGACCTGTTTCTTCTGCTGCAAACTCCTCTGTCTCCAGGCCTGAGCACTCCCTTTCTCACCTCCCCCCCCCCCCCAAATTCCATCAGCAAACGCTCTTGAGGCCTCTGACCTCTGTGGGCAGTGACTTCTACACTCATCTTGAGCCTCTTTAGGAAAAGGAAAATGGTAAAAAAAAGCTTCCCAATGTTTATGCTCTGAAATCCTTGATCTGCTGCACCAGTTCATCTGGACTTAGGAAGTTCCTACCCGCCTCCCAGCAGACAAAAGCCTCTGCTCCATCCTCCCACCCAGTCCTGGACACTAGGAGCATTCAGGGACCATCATCATAACCGCCCAGTGAGCCAAGAAACAAGGAGATGAGGGATTATCAGCATCAAACAGAGCAGCAGCAAACATTACCAGAGTGATTTCTCCACGATTTTGGTCCTGAAAACCTCCTCCTGGTCTAGGTTCACGGTGCAGTAACAATCACGCATCTTGTTTGGCCCCGGGTATGTGGGAAGGTTTTTGGCTTCACCTAAAAGTAAATGTAAATCTATCATCAGTTTTGCATGGAATTATTTAGTCTCCTAGTTAATCTCAGACACCTTTCCCAATGATGGGTTTATTCCACAGCAAGGCACCTGCTCGCTTCTGTATATTCTGTACATTTTCTTGTCACCACCAGTCAAAGTGCTGAAGAAAAACCATTTGTACTATTACATGAAAGTGACATACATTAACCTCTAAAACAATGGATTCCTGTAAAAGTAGGGATCCATCAGAAATTAACGATTGCTTCCTTTTACCCACATTCAGTCAGTTCAGTTCAGTTGCTCAGTCGTGTCCAACTCTCTTGCAGCACGCCAGGCCTCCCTGTCCATCACCAAATCCTGGAGTTTACTCAAACTCATATCCATTGAGTCAGTGATTAGTCCCTTTAATATTTTTAATGTTTAAATCATTGTGTGTGTTAATCACTCAGTCGTGTCCAACTATTTGCGACCACATGGACTGTAGCCCACCAGGCTCCTCTGTCCATGGAATTCTCCAGGCAAGAATAGTGGAGTGGGTTGCCATTTCCTTCTCCAGGGGATCTTCCCAACCCAGGGATTGAACCTGCATCTCCTGCATTGCAGACAGATTCTTTACCATCTGAGCCACCAGGGAAGACCTTAAATTATTAAGATACTCAGAAATTTAAAAATATTCTCAGTCACCTTTAAGGGTACGGCTCAGCAGCATCCTCCGTTAACTACAGCGCACTGCACAATCAACCTCAGGAACTCTTCCATCTCACAAACTGAACTCTTCATCCACGAGACAGCAAGCCCCATCTCCCCTCCTGCAGTCCACCCTCCAGCTTCTGTCTCTGTGACCCTGGCGATCCAGGGACCTCACAGAAGTAGGATCACCATGTTTGTCCTTCTGGGTCCGGCTAATGCCACTCAGTGCCATTCTTTCTCGAGGCTGACACTTTGCTTATCTATTAATCCCCAGGTCTCTTTTTATTCTGATTGATTTGATAGTAGTAGGTCAAAGCTGGGGCAATAACCAAGGATCACAGAGTCGGGAGCGACTGAAGTGACTCGGCGTGCACACACAAACAACAGCGCGAGCGAGGAGAAATCCAGGGGACCAGCTGTGCCCCTGCCTCCCTGCGCGCTGGGAGAAAAGGCACGAGCCACAGGCAGCCTGGTGCCACCAGCCCATGGCGCCTTTGACCCTGGGTCTGACTGGAGACCGCCGGCAAAGTCCCACCTGCTGGGCCCTCTGCCAGGAGCCGGGGTGAGCTTGCTGCGGGCCACCGCGGCCCTTTGCTTGTGGACCAGGTGGGAGCAGAGGGGGCTTCTCCTCCCAGGTAAGAAGGAAGGAAGCCCCTCAAGGAGCTCCTGCCTCCCAGGGGCCTCCTGTTCCCCAGACGCAGGGCCAGGAAGGGGGCCGGGTCTGAGCACCCAGCACCGCCGGAGGAGTCCCAGGCGGCGACACCTGCCAGTACCACCCAGGGGCCGCACCCCCACCCTGGTTAGAGCTGACGGAAAAACAACAACAACAGAAACCAAACCGAAACCAGAGCAGAAGCTCCTCAGAGCTCGGCACCCAGAACGGCCACACCTACACCCCACAAACACATAGACTCTGCTCTCGGGGAAACACGCAGTTTGCAGCTTCCTGCCGCAGCCTCTGACGGGCAGAGGCGAGTTTGCGAGCCCGAAGCCTCTCTTTCAAGCTTCTCATTAACGTCATCACTGGGGACGGAGGAGAGCAACAGGGTAAAGAAGTCATGCAATAACCGAGTGGATGTTTTCTGTGCCAATAAATGGAGTGTTCTGAGGCTTTCTAGCAGCCCCGGCTGCAACCTGAACACACACACCTGCTGCACTCCGGGACCTGCCACACACGTGCCTGGGACCCCAGGCCTCCCCTCTGGGCCTCAGCTTCTCAACCATGGGGCGTGAGGACACACGTCCCAGGTTCCTCTAACTCAAAAGCTTCTGTGGGGTTTTCCTTCGCGAATCGTCAGGGAATCATCAGTGACTCAGATGGTGAAGAAAAAGAAATAACCAATGAATGTTTTCCTATGATTACCCCCAAGACACCTCAATGCTGCAAGGCCCTGGACACCAGGCCACTCCAGGGGAGTTGGGCATAGAAACACAGACAAGCTGAGAAGGGCACGTGATTCCAGGCAGCTTCCAGCCCTGTCATGAAGTGTCTAGAGACAGATTTTCCGTAGGCTCCCAGCAGACGCAAGCACTCACATGTACTCACGCAGGTGCATGCAGACCGTGACGAAACGCATCCGAAGGGGCCCATCAACTTCCTGCCCGCTTCCCGAACTGGTGCTCACAAACCTTCCCCCGAAACCACTCTGACTTCCCTGCTGACACTGCTAGGATGTGACTGCACTTCCTGTTGGAATTTTTTTTGCAAGAAATGAGATATTTAGCTGCAAGTGCCTGTGTTTCTTAAAAGTAGAATTAAATCTTTTTTTAAAAGTTTTACTGGAGATGGCCTCTAGTAGAAGACACAGGATGGGGATTTTTCCTGTTTATTCTCCCAAGAACCTCAAAACACAAGCAGCAGCAGTTGACACTTCTCTTCAAGAACAGAAGAGATGGAAGTGTCTTCTCTGAACAACCAGTTAAAACTGTGAGATGCTGAACATGGCCTCCCACCCCCCACCCCACCCCCATGGTTACAGAAACATCCTGGTTGCTATGACGATGGCAACATCAGAGACCAGCCAGGCGCCGAAGCCAATGTTAACAAGTGACTCAGGCCAGGAGGGCTGGGAGGAGGCCCGTACCCCGTCTGGCCACGTCGTCCGCCTGGCCCTGCACCTGGGGACCCTGCCACGGCCACAGGGCAGGGGCAGGTCCCGGCCTCACTAGAGCAGAGGACGTCTCTTCCATGTGTGTCCCTTATGCCACAGGCTGGAGGTCGTTTTCTTCCTGACTACAGATTATGGGGCCTTTTCGCCCCTCAAATGAGAAGATAGATGTGTTCTTTTTTCTCATGTGTGGAGCTGTCTACCTAAGAAGGCAAAGTCACGCCTGGTATTCAGTAGGTGCTGATTACTTGATAAATGAATGGATAGATAAAAGCCTGCAAAGAAAAAGGAAAGTAAACTCTGATTTCATTCTAAGAGCCAAATAAGTCACATTACCAAACGTGTTCCTCCTGTTAACCAAAATGTATGCTGTTCACCCAGAATGACTATCTGCTGGTGGCTTTGATTCAGACAGCAAATTTGTGCCAAGTATCATCTCTGAATGCTGAATTTACTGACAGACATAAAAGGCGGCACCTAAAAACCAGTAATAAATCAGCGCTGAAGCAGCAAACCTGTTTCTAATTAAGGTGTCAGGCCGTGGTTCCTGGCCACTGCTGGCCACGCTCCCCGCACACTCCAGGTGATCACAGCCAGAAAGACACAGCCCCGCAGACAGCTAGTCTCCACCCTAACCTGGCAGAGGGGTGGGCCTCCTGCGGGCCGTGGGTGGTCTCCACAGCTCCACCAGGTTCAACCCAGACCAGGAAGCCCACTGCCCTGCAGGGACAGCAGTGTGGTCTGCACCCCAAGAGGCTGTTGCTGGTCCAGCCGGCCCGGCCCCCACGTGCACAGGTTCCCCTCCGAGCGGCTCTGACCTCGGCTGCTGCCCTCACCCGCCCCCGGGAAGACTCCCAGCAGTGAGCCGGGGCCTCAGGTCTGCCGTGTCCACGAAGCACGGGGCCTCTGCTCTGCCCTACTATGTAGGCTGGCCCTCAGCTCAGTCACAGACAAAGTCTGTAACCACATGTGACCAGCCACAGGAGCTCCAGACCCCTGTCCTGCGGAGACAGCTCTCCCCAGCCCTCCCCGCGCACAGGGGCAGGACCTGGTGAGGGAGACACAGCCCCCCGGCTCCTGTCTCTCTCTCCAAGTACTTACGGGCTATGGAGTCTGGTGGCCAGTGTAGCTCCTTGTAACTACATAAAAGCCCATTTCCCGCCAGAGATCAGTTTCATGATGAAAACACTCTCTTTCCTTGAATATGTTTTTAACTGCCTTGCTATTTTCTTTTAACACTTGATATTAAATAGAACAGCTTCTCAGATGGTTCAGGGGTAAAAAGACCCCGCCTGCCAACGCAGTAGACACACACAACAGACGCAGGTTGGTCCCTGGGTCGGGAAGATGCCCTGAAGGAGGAAACGGCCCCCACTCCAGTATTCCTGCCTGGGATATTCCATGGACAGAAGAGCCTGGTGGGCCACAGTCCATGGGGTCGCAAAGAGTCGGACGACTGGGCGACCAAGCACACACACACATTAAAAGAACGAACATCCCCACAATCAGATGAGGCTAGATTTCTGAATCAAGTTACAGGCAGCCTCCTCTAGCGCAGGCTGATTTACAAGCCAGGAGGGCTCCGGGCTGAGCTGCCTAACCCAGAGCACACGGCCAAGGTCCTGACCCAGAGCAGCAAGGTCAGCTCCAGGTACTGGGGGGTGGGGGGGGGGCATACCTAGGACGCAGGAAGCCTCGCAAACCTGCATCTCAGATCTCCCCCAATTTCCAAAAAGAACTGGTGACAACATGAAAGACAAGAATAAAATAAGGCTGCTAGAAGGAAGTTAAAGTCTAACATATGGTAGGAGAGAGGAGAGCTACACCTTCCAGCCCACTATGAGTGGGTCAATGACACACCGGGGCACTGAGTCCCCAGGAGCTAATGAACACGTGGAGATGGCAGAACACACAATTCTCAGGAGTTACCTAAAAATGAAATACACCAGCTCCAGGAGGAAACACTATGAAAAGACAGGCAGGCATGTCTTCCGAGAAACTGTTACAGAAGATGCAGAAACACCCTCCGGGGCTCTTCTCTGCTCTTGGGTGGGGACGCAAGTGATGACCTGTGATGAGCGCAGCACAGGAGGGGCCAGCGATGGCCCCCCCAGGCAGCCAGGAGCCCCGGGAAGAGACCGATGGGGCTCTGTTCCCTGCACGGACACCACAGAGTCGCCCTCTGGACTCTGGACCACGAGGCA